TTGTATAGCTCAGAATTTGCAGTTACTGCGTTCATCTCTTAAACAATGGATGGATGAGACATTTAAAATCGTACCCCGGTTGCTTTAACAACTGTACACTATCCATTCATGGTTTATGGCTGAAATCTTTCTTCTTGTCTACTGCCTGCAAGGCAAGAAACTTATAAGAGTGTTTCAAGTCATAAAATGTGTAGCTATTAATGCAGAACTTGCATTCAACCTAACAATGCGCATTTTGGACTCTTAAATTGTAGCAATGCGAGCCCTGGAAGATTATCCGAAGAAGAGCACCCTAAAACTTCGGTGAAAGGCTGCTTCTTCCACTTTGGAGAAAGTATATGGAGAAAGGTAAATAGAATAATTTACAAAATTGAATTTCATGAACGGATTTTTTTTCTATATGTATATAAAGTTGAAAGATTAAAGAAATAGACTATTATTTATCACAAGATTCAATCTCAAAAGATTTTTATTTAGCTTCAGTACCACACATTTAAACTGCAATGCATAAATTGTTACATTCAAAACACTATTTTAAAAATATGTACAGCACATTCCATAAAAAATGTGTCTTATTTAGATAGGATAGGATTATTTTATAGGACTATTTTTTCAATACTTATGGTATATTAAAACCACACCACTCTGGTGCAGAGGGCTGATGATGATCAGAAGATTTGCAAATCAATGTAAGACTGTTGAAATATAAATATTTTATCTCAATATTATCATCTCAAAGTTTATCCTTTGTATAAATATCAAGGTAAAAAGTTGGGAAATGCTGGAAAAAGTATTTTAAAGCTAAAAATCAAGAAAAAGTTCTGGAACAAGTAGTAAGATCAATTTTTACTATGCAATACAGAGTCAGTTTACCATTACAAATCTATGGTTCTCGTATCAGTGTTTAAAAATACTCAAAATACTGCCATAAATTGCGATGCATCTTGTTTTTGTATTTTTTCAGAAACATTTGGAAGCATTTCAATAGTGGAAATGAATAAACAACTAATCATGTGGAAGGATGGCATTCCAAATTAAATCAAAGGACACAAACCCACCACCTAGATATTTTCACCATTATTGATTTACTGAAAAAAATCCAGGAGGAAAATGGCAGTAAAATGAACATACTACGTAATAACTTTGTAACAACACTAAAAGGTGTTGATAGTTTAATATGTCTTAAAAATTTAATGATTAATAATCTTTGAAAGAAATAAAGAATGAAGATGTAAAAGAAATGAAATTCTTTTCTACATATATTTCGTTCTAATATAATTCGAGTATATCTTAAACTATTGTTGATTAGATGACATAATTTAAAGTTTTTTACATTAAAAATGCAGTAATTACATCTATATATAGTATATAATTAAAACAAACGTATGACAGGTTCATAAACTTTGAAACAATAGAGTCCTAAAACAATATCTATGACATGCTGTTTAGGCTATACAATCGTATGAATAAAATAATTGAATTAGTGATTAATAAATAATTTGTATTAGTGATTAATGTGAATAAAATAATTGGTATTAATGCATGAGTAATGAATAAAATAATTGGTATAAATGTATGAGTAATTAATAAAATAATTGGTATAATGTGAATAATTACTATTAATAATGCCTTGTTTCAAGGGTCTTTAAAACGAGAAGAAATTTTTATTAATGATTTGGTGGGTGACCACCAAAGAAAGTGTGTCAATAATTTTGAAATATGAAGTTCAAGGCTGAGTAGGAAAGCTGTATTCTTCCAAAATTCAGATAACTTATCAAATCAGCTTCAAAAATATGTCAATAAATTATTTAACACTTAAAAAGCTATTAAGATTATAAAATAATATGTAAAACAAGTCAAATTCATTACTTAAATAAACAAAACAAAACTGAAGGTTGTGTGATCGCGTTGCCACATTTCTAAAACAAAATGTTTGTATAACAGAACAAGTCTTGGGAATTTAAGGAAACACTCATACTGGAAGCGCACGCAGTTCTGTTTTGAGCAGTAATCAGTAATGGAGCATTCTCACTGCTGCTATAGAATCGTGTGTGAAGCAAGATTCTCAAGCAATTCGTCTCACATATAAAGTTTCCAAACATTCGCACGCCCGTCTAATTCGCCGCATGTCACCTGAATGTTTTTTTAAGATAGATTAATTTCTAGGAACAAGAATCCTTAGAAACTGCATATAAGACGAACTTGTCGGGGCGGAGTTATCGACTATGCCAACCATCATCTATCAAAAGGTACCATGTGATTGAATTAAGTTAGCACGTCTTATGTTATATGTAACGGTTACATTACATATAATATATATGTAATGTTATATGTATTAATGTTATATGTGTTATAATGTATGTTATATGTAGCGGGCATCCGACTTCTTCATCGAATAATGTTTGCCCTTGGGTGACTAAGACTTTTGGCTTTAGGCTAGGGAGAGAATGGAGTACGGGGGAAGTCCCCTGAGTCAATGAATGGGACCAAAGGCATGGAGTACGTCTTATATACCAGTGAATTGATGTTTAATTTTCGTAGTGGTAGTTATGCCACAGACTGCATGCACAAGTTGCAGTAATTTTCAAAGACTTTATATGATGATAATAGAATAAATATTTTCTGACAAATGGTGGCTAATAATTAAGAAACTCTTTACATTATATTAGCCACCATAAAAATAATTTATACACACTTTTAATATATTCAATATTGAGTGACTCATTAAACTAATAATTACTTAATTATTTAAAAAACTTCATCATTCCAAATTAATAATTAATTTAACTATTATTTAAAAGGGTTATCGGGTGTATTTTGTTTAAAACTTAGCAACTTGTAAGAGTATTCAACAAAACATTAATAAGATTAATATTATTGGTCATACCGAATTTATTAAGATATTTTAAGAATAAAGCATACAAACATAATTTAATAAATTCATATTACAAATGTAAATTAGTGAATGACCTTTAATAAATTTTCAATAAAATTTGTTACTTAATTCATTATTTCTTTAATAAAATGATTTAAAAATTTTTTAAATAATTTTGAAATGTAAATACAATGAGTATTGAAGTAGTATCGAAACTAAACAGTTTTGTAAGAAGTAAATAATTATATGGTCCCTACACTCATGATATTTAACAAATCTGAGGCAATTGAATTTTTTTAAATTTTATTTCAATTGTTTTGAAAGCAAATCATTAAGAGATGAATTAAAGTTTTTAGGAATAACAAATCTGAATAACCTAAGTTTTTTGTTGCATTTAAATAGTAAAAGCTTCTCCCTTCATACTTTTTTAAAATCTTGCCTCTAAATATTATTGAGTTTTTTCATAAAACAAATTAAGAGTAATGAAAATTTTAGAAGTAATAATACAATAATAAAATGGCTAAAGTAAAAAAAAGTCATCAACTGCAGTAAAAGTTCACAAATATTACATGCAATTATAGAGCAGTTCCTTAAGTAAAAATTCTTGCGATTAGAAATCTCTTTATAATTCTTATCTTTATTTAATTCAGTGAATAAAAGGGAGATAGAAATTCAGAGGAGATGAAGCTTTGCGATTTATTACTGTAATGGGGACCCACATGAAAATACGCAATAGGTGAATGAAATCAAGTTCATTATGGTACTGATCTATAAATATAAGAGCACGAGAAGACCATTAACTTGTCAGTGACGAAGACAATGGCGCTTCACCAACTATGAAATTAACAGAAGAAATAATTTCTTTTTGTCATTAGGGAAAAAAATATTCGACAATGTTTAGTTGGTCTCTGTGGTTAGCAGAAATTCGAGAGTTTATACTTCCCACCAAATTCAACTCAGTATACGCACATGCAAGTATTTAAACAAGTAAAATGATTAGCGATTTCATGGGCTACAGACTAACGATATGCCAAAATGGATTGTGCTGAATGAATTGTGAAAAAGTAGAATAATGTGAAAAACTACAACTTTTGTATAATTCGTGAGAAAATCAACACAGTACAGGAAAAATATTTCATTTTGGAATATTGAAAATTAAGCACTTTTTATTAAGGGCTTTCAAAAAATTAAAATAAGCACCATTAAAAACGCTACGCACTCTATTCTTACAATTTTACATTCTAACTCACAATACAACCATAGATTTTCCTATCATGTTATTGATACAAAATCTTAGAAAGTAATCTTTTTTTTTTGCAAACAAAATGCGAAAATGCAATGAAATTAATTTTATGAGGAAAATCTTATTTAAATTTAATATTTTTACTTACATAATATGGTATTTTTTCGATTTTAAGAATATTTTTAAGGGCATTAAACTTTGAAATGTATCTAATAATTGAAGCAGTCAATTTTGAAAGGTGTGAGTGACATTTTTACGAAAATAAGCTTTTTGTGTTGGTTTTGGAATATCAATCACCGATTATCAAATACCACATAATTTCCTAGACTGCCTAAAGAAAAGAATCCAACAATTTGGAAGCATTAAAACAATCTTACTACTAGTGACACAGTCTTTTTTTTTTAAACTGCAGATGTGCAACATACCTCCTTTTACCCCATTAATTTTTCACTCCCTAATTTCTTCAGCAATCAAAGAGGTTTTAATATTTTCAATCAGACCTCTTTCAATGATAATCACTTAAATATTGAAATAATATTACAAGAGTTTATTTCATTATTGACGAAGATTCAAACATATTAAGTGTGGTGGTTGTAGGTCAATTTTAATATCAGTCAGATTTTAATATTTCCAGTCATGCTTCTTTCGATAGTGTTTTTTTTTCCATCACTTAAATATTAATCTGAGGCACCTTATGCATGAACTTTAACTTCATTATTGACAAAGATTCAAACCTATATATTACGTGTGGTCATATGGTACACCATGTATAAGTGTATTTAACACATAATTGTTTAAAATAACTTTACTTTTCGCTACATTGCCAGAAAATGAATCAACCCACTATTTATCTCAATGAAATTCACTCAAACAAAAACACCCTTAATTAAAAATATTTTATTTATATATTTATGAACAATGAGAGAGGTAATATTTACAAATGCATTTATGTACAGGAATGACAATTTTTCTCGAACACCACATAATTCTAATCGGGGTAGAATCCGGTAAATATTGCATTCATCAATATTTTTTGTGGAGCTTTGATTAATAAAGCATCTTCTGTTAGTTTGCAGAATTTTGTGGTTCCATCATCTATGTAGACATCTTGGTGTATGATGCCATTTGTGTCAGTTACAAACTGCAAAGACTCTTTAAAATCTTTTCTTAGTTTATGAAGATTAAAAACGTTGAAATTTCTCTGAGCTATGTGCATAAAACTACTCATGGCAATATTGATTTCCTCTCCTTCCAACCAATCGTTTTCTGTGATTCTTCCTAGTTCGTAGATTTCTTTGTTGTCAAATTCCACTGTCTTTCCATGTTGTGATATGTTACCCGGCATTTGGTCCAATGATTCATCGTCGTCTTCGTTTAGATCATATAGAATGAGAGATTTCATATCTCTGTTTAGATGAACTATTCCAATGATATCAGATGTGGTCACCAAATACCCAACAATTGTGATGATAAAACATTTCCCATATGAGAGTTGGATCTATAACAGGAAATTTAAGGATATAGTTTATAAACTGTTCCAGTTATTTATTTTTATTATTACACAACAATGACTTAAAAAACGGTGTAAATATAATTTTCTTATCCTGACTTCAAATAATGGTCATATACAGGGGTGCCGGGATGTTAGGTCGCTGTGACCATCCAAACATTTTTACTGTTCAGCAAATAACAGTAAAAATGTTTGGCCATTCGGCATATTTACGAAAATTCCTTTTCTCTTGTTTAACTTAGAAAACAAATGAAATTATGAACAATGCATCTTACTTTGTTTAAATTTCAATTGCCTATTTGGCTATTCAATTGCCTATTTGCGCGTTAAATCTGTCGAGTCGCAAGATCCTCCATGTTCCCATAACAAATACCTCTGGTTTGTACTGATCCAGGAGTTTCCTTGTCTTCTGGATTGGTTCAAAATTACAAGGCGTAAACCCAAGATTGGGCCGGCTGTTCAACGACGGTTATAAAATAAAATTTCAATTGTGAAATTAAATTTTTAAGCTCCAAAGATTGGCATTGAATACGCCTTTAATGTAGTTAAAATAAAATATAAAAAATATCAAGACATGAAAATCGGGGAATTAAATAAAACTGAGGAGAAAAGAATTAGAAGTTCGTTCGGAAGGAAGCGTGTCAGAATTTTTGGTGGATAGCAAGCAGGAAGCGGCGCTCTCTTGTGATTATAAAAGCTCAGTTCTTGACAACAGTCCAATGCCTTACCCATTATTCAATCGCAGGTTACTGACTAGAATAATTAAGTAGATGGGAAAAAATTAACATATTGTGAAAATATTAGCATCCAAATATTTTTTTTATTGAAGTTAATAAATTACATGCTTATTAATGATTGCATTAAATTGAAAATTTCATTCTGCAAAATGGGAACTTATCCCCACCTAAAAATATAAGTTTGCGAAGCCTCTGATCTCTTGAATGTATGATTTTGTTTGAATTTTTCTTACACTGAGGTAATATTTTTTCTTTTGTTTCATTGAACAGTTTTAAATGACCATATTTAAATAATAAATTAATAGAAGGTAGAGAAAAAAAATCGCATTTTTATCTTATAAAACCTTTTTAAGTTAAGAAAAGGACTAGTCTCTCGTTAAATGTGAGCAACAATTAAAGTTAATTGAAAAGGTTATTAAAATCTATTGAAGCTAATGCTGTTGTCATTTGAAGTTAACAGCTTCGTGAAAAACCTTTTTAATGGAATCGGCAGTAATTAAAGCGGTGCTTTTTTTTAATGTTTAAAAATAGAATTGCTAAAATTAAATTAAAAAAAGTTTTAGGATCTTAGCAGTGTTTATTTTATACATTAAAAATTAAAATGTCCGATATTAAAAATTAAAATGTCCGATATTTTTTAGGGGGAAATGTAATCAAACCCATTTAATTTTATGTGGGAAAATTTTTTAAAAAAGTTAATACATTCGATTCCAAATTCACATAGCAATAAGTAACAGAACTACTTACTAAATCTGACATATAATATTTTTTCATAGCAGCCTGATCTTTCGTATAACCAGCCAAGCAGCTGAGCATCTGCCTCGGGTGGAAATAATTTGTGATATCATCTGTTTAAATAAAAAAAAAGAGCGTATAATAAAATTTGATTGAACTTATTAAAATATCGGTAATAAATATGATTATTTATTGCGTTTTTATTTTGAAAAATGTTCTTACGATTTAACTTCAATTAAACACAAATTATTTATATATTTTTATTATTTTTTTTGCCACAGCTTCTTGATAATTTTTTTTTCTTCTAATTTTTCTTGCTTAATATTGGCCAGAAAATTCCCTTAGTTTTATTTTCCCTTTCAGTGACGTTAATAGTTCGAACAATTTATTATTTCTTATCAAATTGGCATTATTTAAATCATCTGATTTTATTTTAATTAATACCTGCGATTTATGCTTTTATTTATAATTATAATTTCCTTTTTTATTAAATATAAATTTTGTTAAACTTTCTATTTTTTAAATTATTTTCTTTTTAAATTAGTATTGCCCAATTAAGCTTTATTGCTGATGTCTTTCAAATAATTAATTTTTTAGCTATTACTAATATATTGGGTTTTGATTGTTTATTGTGTTTTTATTTTGAAAAATGTTGATTAAATACGATTTAGCTTCAATTAAACACAGGTTATTTATATATTTCAATTATTTTTTTGCAACAACTGCTTATTTATCGATTTTTCTTTTCTTTCTAATTTTTGTAGTTTATTATTGTCCAGAAAAGTCCCTTAGTTTTAATCCCTTTCAGTCAAGTTAATAGTTTTGACTATTTATTATTTCTAAGCACAGTTGGCATTATTTAAATCACTTTATTTGTCTTTTTTTTTGGAGAATTAATACTTTTGAGAGTTATGCTTTTATTTATGATTCCAATTTACATTTTTATTAAATAGAAATTTTGTTGAATTTTCTTTATAAAAAAATCCTGGAAATTTTATGGAAATCTACCTAGAAAAGTCAGGGGGAAAATTTATTCTATTTGAGTAAAAAAAAAAGTGAGAGAACGGCACTTGAGATTCGCTTAGATTGAAATTAGCTGACTTTTCATCACATTCCAAAATTTATGAATTCAGATGAATGGCGGTTTACATGAGTTTTTCTTGTTGGCAACAATGATTAATCTTAAATATGATTTTTTTTCTTAAATAATAGATACACGTTTAAAGTTTTAAAAGCATACCTGAAGCTAAATGTTTCAGAACAGCCTCACAATAAGACAGTGTCTCTAAAATCTGCGACGTAATGCATCGAAGACATTCCGAGTCTTGGGGGGAAATAAACCATCCTGTGTACATCGGTGGAACATCTTCCCAATTTTTCAAAGCAGTACTTAAGTATTTACTACCTAAGCCGCCGTTGCGTTGCTTCTCTGCTTCATCAAGAACCTAGATATATAGATATGGAATATATATATATATACACCGAAGAGCCATTACATTATGACCGCCCTGCTAATAACATGTAGGATCACCTTTAGCCCTCAAAACTGCTAGCACCTGCCGTGGCATTGATTCCACAAGGTGCTGTTAGGTAGTCTGAGGTTTCTCGTACCAAGCGCTCACCAACTGGTCCTGCAACCTGGGGTAGCGTGGCAGCACGAATTTAGTTTTCCAAGTAGGACCACAAATGCTCTCTTGGATTAAGGTCAGGTGAATTTAGTGGCCAAGACATGACTTGAAAGTTACTGGAATTTTCCTCGAACCAATCCATGAAGATTCGACCCTTATGACATGGTGCATTATCCTGTTGGTAAACACCATCCCATACAGGAAAAACTGTTGCCATGAATGGGTGAACCTGGTTTGCAACTATGCTCAAGTAGCTTACAGACGTTAGGGATTGTTCTGTGAGGATTATGGGTCCTAATGTGCCCCATGAAAATAATATTTCCTGGGCGAGAAAGCATGAAAACCTGGGCGAGCCCATTGTTATAGATGGAGGGTGGTCATAATGCAATGGCTCTTCGGTGTGTATGTATATATATATGTATATCTTTATATATATATGTATAT